ATCACACCCTCACGGGCCTTGTGTGTAAGCGGCGAGTTCGTCTTCACCACCATACCGGGTTGTACCGGCCATGCGCAAGAGGCAACGGGTTTCGGTGCTCGTTCGACTTCGACTAGACACATACGACAGTTACCGGCGATCATTAATTTCCTATTCCATCATCAGTAACCGGAGTCGTGGTGGGGGTTTTAGGCGTGGGTGGGAGTTGTCGTACTCATGGTAACAATATCTGCATGTACATCGTTAGCAATCGCTTTTCTTGAGTACGATACCTTGGAAGACATGTTGGGCTGACCTTGGGACCGTAGAACCGGCCTTCTCACATGCCTGAATTAAAGCTGATCCGGCTGCGGGCTTAATTAGTAAAGCAGTTCGACCACTCGCGGAATGCGGCTAATTGGTCTGTACCTTCAATAGACACCTTCTTCCCATCTGTAATATCATCAGCAATAGTCCTCTACTATTTCTCATCGATATATCGCAAAGTGCTCACCAATTGTAAGCTCCACCTCTGCCGGCCGCCGGGGCGTCGCAGAAAAAGCTCTCGAGGGTCTGACGGCATGTCTGCCCGTCCGCCAAGCCGAACGAGCTAGAGATTGTCGAAGCATCGTATCGTCTCGACGGGAATAGGTGACGAAGGAAAGAGGGGAGAGGTAGAGTTGGGAGTCGAGCACTCGAACGGGGTGGTGGATCAATTGGAAGGACGTTCTTACGATGTTGACGTCTCTTGAGGATTGCTGCTTTGGTCGGGAATTATTGGATGGTTCTTGGAAAGTGGCGCTAGTGTGCTTTTGCGATTATTTTCAGGCTTGTTCTGATTGGTCGCAGCTGTGGGTTTTGTCCCGGACCGACAACTTGAAGGTTTTGTTTTACTCATCAACTTTTCGTCATTGTGTTACTCAAGACTACTTATAAGTGCATACATACATCTGCTTTCATATCATTGTATTGAAGGCATTAGTATGCATATATAGGACACGCCAAGACAATATGCACAGTCTAAAAAGAAAAAGGACGCTGTGGCCAGGGGCTAAGCCCCCCAAGCTCCCCTCTAGAGCGATTTGCTTAATTAAAAAACACTGAAATTTTTGCGAAGAATTTCTCTTTCTTCTTCCTTTCATCAACAAAATTGTACAATGAGCACACTTTATTGTAGGTGAGCTTGAGCAAACTCCTGGTTTTTACCAGGTTTCTTGCTATAGTCGAGTCTTCCTCTATCTTGTGCTCTAGAGAAAATCATCATACGCCGATTATGGAAGCATGTGAGAAGGCTTGTCAAGCCTCGAGGATCGCTGCCTCTTACCGCCGGTCGTTACATTTTTTGCACTTTTTTTCCTTTTTCGTGCCCCTTTGCAGCAGTAGACGGAGTCAATAAAACTCCCAAGTTTCCCTGAAGCCCGAGGAGAAGTCTTATTTGCTTCTTCTCCTTATTTGTCCGCTCTCCACTATTGGAGGCATTATGCGCCCGGGTTACCTCGTTATTGTCCACGATTTGAACCGCACTACTGGAATTCGCCAGTGAGGGCATCGACAATAACGGGGCCTGGGATGGCTGACCCAAACTGTAGGCCCTGGTCGGGTTTGAGCCACGAAGCCTTGGTCCATTTAAGGCCATAGCGTCCCCCGGGACAATTTGGAAAATCCCCATGGGTGCAACGCGTCGCGTGATCATCATCCTCTCTTCTTAAAATGTGTAGCCCTCCCTTGTTTCAGGATCGCTTGTTCTGGAAAAAAAAAAAAAAGTTTGATTCCTCTCACTTTTTCTATCATAAATCACATTTCTGCTCCGGCAGCATCCGAAATCTTTAATCCTTTAAATTGCGTAATTGCTTGGTCTCACTGTCGCCAATGGATAATGAAGTCCAATATCTCGGGTATCAAGTTGCTCCCAATTGCAACAACCAGATGAGGGTTGACCTGTCGAGAGCCACCACCAGACAGCTGCTTTACCAGATGCTCGAATCCATTGGAGGGCTCCGTGACGATGTTCCCGACAGATTTGAGACGCTCGAGGAATTTATCCAGGGGGAGGCCAGCGACGGCAGAGAAATGATAGAAGACCTCGGCCAAACTCTCGACACCATTCAAACTTCCATTGAAGGCATCCAAGAGGCGCTCGAGACCGACGATGCAGTCAGGGATACTCTTAGCACTCTAGAAGAACAGATCACGGACTTGCAGACTTGGAACACCAAACTCGCCGATGACATCAGACAGGATGCGGTGGCCACTCACGGACGGATTCAATCTTTGAAGGAATTCATCCAAACCGAACTCCACACGCAAGCCCTCGCTCACAACGCAGACACCAGGAGTCTCCGTGCAGAGGTTCAACTGTTGCGCAGATGCATCGACACTGCACCTCGGTTCCCTCAATTCAGGAAATTGCCCCCTGAAATCCGGACCAGTATGTAACAACCAGCAGCCCCCCCTTTCCCAGTTTCTCACCTGTCGGGAGGCTGGGTCTTCTATCCGAGTCAAATGAGGAGACGCCACGTCTTAAGACATGGCTTGACTCCTCTTGAGACTATTGAAAGCAGGCTGCTGACGCATTGAAAGTGATCTGGGACTACGCTACTCCCCATAGGCTTGTATGCCTCGGTGAGACAACATGGGAGTATGACGGGCATGGCTTTTCCACCTACAAATTTTCAACGACTTCGCTGCCTCCGTCCACAGCGCAGGTGTGCCAGGAATCACGCGCCGTGGCTTGCCGCTACGGCAGGCTCATGCCAATCAGGAATCTCCTGGCGTATCCGATAGATATTACCCCGCCCAATAAAAAGCCACTGTGGTGCAAGACGCAATGGGGTTGGTTCGATCCCAGCAGAGACAGCCTCCATCTGCAACCTACCTACGATCACCTACGCAGCCTGGAAACCATATCGGACCTGACCAGATGCGCCGAGCACGTCACCCTGGATTGTGGCACCCACACGAAATGGATCAACTACTTTCATCTCCTGTTCAGTCCCATTCATTTCCCGTGCATCAAGGCTGTAGATCTTGTGGCAGGAAGGTTTGTCCTTGCCGAGTTTAGCGATCCTGTCCTCGAGGCGCGGTTGTTTGGACAGGATCGCAAGCGTCCGGTTACAGTCGACATTGACGACAAGGCCGGCATAGCAGACCTGCTAGCGAAATTAAGGAAAAACCATACGTCCGTCGACATCGACAACCTCGAGGAAGTCATGAAGCGCATCGAGAGCCTGACGTGGTCCAACGGGTCTGGAAACCGTGGCGTCTCGGATTGGCGCCGGTGGTCCAAACGCTTTCCTTACGAATACATTATCGCCAAGTACTTGTGGTATCCCCTCGCCGGCAAAGGTCTAGGTGATTCCGGGCTGCCGGAAATCTTGCACAACAAGCCCGGTCTGTCGGAGGATTGGTTCCTCACGATTGTCCCTGGCATCCCGAAGTTTCGGCGTGTCGCCCTGCTCCGAGTTGGTCCTTGGGATGGTAGTAATGCCGAATGATTTTTTAACCTCGGGATTGTCTTGTCTGTCTATCTGTCTGTTCGTCTGTCTGTTTGTGTAATGTTGGCTGGGGCGTATCTGGACGTCTTCATGAAGCTTCTTGTAATGAGTAATGGCAACGGGGATGTGTGCATTAGATGGGGGGGTCAAGAAAAAAAAAGGTGCGGTTTTGTTTGGTGTCCTGGATATACAAGGCAGGATGCTGGGACAAGCAATATGTGGTGTTATTGTTTAATTAAGCCTCGATCTTTGAATTGTATAATGGTCTCGCGGGAGCTTATCGTTGCCCCGAATTTAACATTCGTTTTATTACGCGATGTCATCGATTGTTAAGTCCGCCTGCTGGGATATGTGAAGTTGGCCATCGAAGTTCATGATAAGCGTTAGGTATTAAACATCTTCTCCCGCTCATTAATTCTCACCGACCAACTGCAGATGAGGCAATGTAACTGTTGGCATTATTAGCAGTACCTATCATTTCCTTGTTTACACCTACCTGCAGAGTGCTGTTAACTAAACAAAAACAAGGGTCTTTGGTTCTCAACGTTCGTTTTGCAATTGGCAATAAAGATATCTATAATTACTCCCAGCTGTTCGATGATCATATGAGATCTAGGACAGATAGGATATCCCTAGCAGATAGATAGACAGGTAAAACCCGTCAAGCGAATACATGTTAACTGTAGAGAAATCCATCTGCTAAACCTTATGGCACGGATCTTGCCGAGTGGCTCACACCGTAGGCTATCGTGTGCTGATCATAGTAGTGTTTGTACAGGACTATTGACTCATACCTTCTCCACGCTTAGGAGCAGTACCATGGATTACTTGCTTTCCACGTGTTCAGAGCCCAGTTATCTCCGTCGTCGTCTTCGCCAGCAACGAGATTGTAGCACTCACTGGCTTAAACATCATTCTGCCGAGTAGAGGTAGACAAGTTACTTATCCTGTAGCAAGAGTAAACATAAATGGAACTATGGATGAGCAAGCTTCTGAGGATAAATAAAAGCACAACGATCAAATAAAGCAATAGGGCATTTCTAAGTACATGTAGATAGTAATAATCTGGTAAGAGGTAGGAAGTCAATCTATCATAGGTTCATAGGCATGTTTGAGTGATACTGGGAGTTCTATCGCGGTACTCAACTCTACAGTCCTGTAGACTACAGCTGTACGTATATATCAGTCCCGTAGCCGCTCCAACTTCGTAATAACACGCGTAACTTACAACCACCACAATGTCTACTACGAAATATACACATACCAAGAGGATCCCACGAGAAGGCTCGATATCCGGTGGGGAGTGTAGTTATTGTTCTCACTGCTAGTGTCCGGATTAGACTATAGAGTCCACCCATCGTGACCCTCGCTACCCACTCCGTGACCAATTGGCCCGCGGAGCACCGTGTTAGCAACTCGAAGTATCCCGGAGAGGCGCGGAACAGGATTCATAATGAAAATTTTGCAATCCTCTTCCATCCAAAGTGGGAGCAGTTCATCAAAGCTACCTATTCACAACATCTCGCAGGCTTCGTGGTCTAGGGGTATGATACTCGCTTAGGGTCACAACCTTGAGTACAATATGCGAGTGGTCCCGGGTTCAAATCCCGGCGAAGCCCAACTTTTTGGATATCTTGTCTAGAGAGTTTGAGGACGCGGCGAGTGAGACAAGATTTTCTTCTGGATAAGTTCGCCTATGTAATTTAAGTTGCTGATATATGCAATAAAGGGGTATATTATAGTATGTGATAATTAAAATTGTTTGGATGAATTCGATCACTGAGCATGTGAACATCTGCCTCGCACCGATCCCGATACCGAAGCCATCTACAAAGTAGAATGAGAGATACGGACTAGCCCTGGAGCACAGCAGGTTTCTGGCTACCTAGATATTTATTAATCACATTGAATCTGCAACACATTGTGGCAAGTTGAAGAAAAAGCAATGATCGCGTATTGGTCTGGGGAAGTATTATGGAATGATCTCGCCCGACTCACTCCAACGCCTCGGGAAGTTATGATGGATACCCCCGGTCCCGGAGTTATGGTCTACCCCGTCACAGCGGAAATATACTATGTAACATCCATAATTGCCTAGAGCTACATCGACAGCCTTAGTTGTACGAATTAATTATGCTTCGTCCGTAATACCAGGCAAACGAAACGGATGTTTTCTTGAGTCGCTTACAAAAAAGCGAATCGAATAGGACTTTGGCGCAAGGATTTAGCTGGTCTCATTTCGGCGTGTCGGCATCGTGGTAGCATAAGTGGAGCCTGGGGTTGCCTAAAGGGCCTTAAAGCTGAAAAAATACTAGGGGTTGACTCGTTCGAGATACGTTCCATCATGCGGTAGCGTTGGCCTTGACCGTTTCCTCTTTCTTCTCGGAAGAAAAATATTTTGAGAAGAGTCCAATGGAAGGAAACTGCGAAATTCGCGATTCTTATTATTTTAGGTGGGTATACTCAAAAGGTATCTTCTACTACAGCGACTGCCGATTTCTCCAATCGGTAAGGCGAAAAGAGGTAGATACTTATCGAGGGCGAATCTGGAAGCGACGCCGAAAGTCGATTTAAGCAAGCGGAAATTCACAACTAGCTTCACAATGGTCTAGAAGTCTATTTAGCTAGCTCATGGCAGCCTGGGCGCTTACCGAGGTCGCATCCCGGGGACCCCCTGTATAAGGCTAGGTCCAAAAAGTCCAAACACAATGTTGTGCCTACCTGTTGTTGGTGATATTAAGGGGGCGCGGCTTCGCATAAGTTACTGATATAAAAGAACAGGCGGCGCCCGCGAAATCTTACATGATGATATTTTCCTTACTACTCCTACGTGTGCGCCAGCCAAAATCGCGATACACAATTCACTCTTTACCGGACCCAGTATAATCATATATACTGACCACCACATTCGTTTTTAACTAACACCAACAACATCATGTTCACCAAGGCAATCCTCATCGCCGGCCTTAGCGCCTCTGCCTCCGCCCAGCTTGCGGCTCTCCTACCGCGTGCCACTCTCGACACCGCCAGCCTGCCGTCCGACGTAGCAACCGAGGACATCCTCCCCACGGAGTCGTCGTCGCCCGAGTGTCTTGCACGCATAACATCGTGGACCGAAGCGATCCCCACTCCCGCTCCCCAGCTAGCCCAGGACCTCGATGATAACGGATTGGCCCTCGACGGCGTAGATGGTCTATGCGAGTTCGGCTCTGGTCTCGGCAAGTCCGAGGCCGCTGAATACACCTCGTACAACCTCGCCATGTACTCGTACCTCTCGGCCCAGAGCTCGAACCTGGTCGCGCTGGCCAGCAGCTGCTCTTCCGACATGGGCTCGCCGTCTTCCGTCATCGTCAGCGAGCTTAACGAGCTCCTCACCATCTACTCGGACTTCTCCGCCGGCAGCTGCGCGGATGCCGCTACGTCCACGACCGACGCGACTACCACCGCCACTGGTGTCACCATCACCTCCTCTTCGCCGAGCGGAACCGCGTCCAAGACCAGCGATGGCGTCACCGCTGCTACGGCCAGCGCCCTTGGATCTGACGATGCTTCTTCCTCCGCCGCATCCTCGGAATCCGCTTCCGCTTCTGCTTCGTCGAGCTCTACGGCCGCGACCACTGTCTCCGAGAATGCTAGTCCCCGAGAGACCGGCATGATGGCCGCTGCTGCCTTCGCTGTGGGCATCCTCGGTGCTGCTGTTGCTTTGTAGTTGGGACATTGAACTAGATACCTACAAGATAATAAAAGATAATTAGCATGTGAGAGAAATTTGGCGTTACACAGATACCCCGTGGGACACTTGTACAAGCACATGACTACATATTCGAGATAATTAGCTTCATCTAATCAGTATCTTCGTCCATCTTGTTTCGTTCGTGGTGATTGTTGAGTTGACATTAGAGACATGGTCTTTTCGGTCTGAAGTAATAAAGAGAAAAAGTTTAATAGCTGGAGAAAAGGGAGTCTTGCTGCTAATCTCGGGGCTATCCGTCTGATGAGCGGGTCACCTGATACCCCATAGCAGACCCTTTCCAACTAGCCTAGCTCTAGTCGATCACTTTCAGCCTACAAGCTGTAGTTTACTAGTATTTGGGTCTCATCAACGGGCATATCCTTCAATATGGAGTATTACTACGCTACCACTGGATCTTACTGCCTTTTTGACTGGTCTTCTAAGTTATAAACTCTGGATCGCCACATCCTGAGTTGAACAAGACTTTTTCACAGTTTCTTCCTCGAATTAGCCATTAAATAAATAGTCCACATATAATAGTAGACCGTACCCCTGATTAGGTAGGTATTCGATGTACATCACTTTCAATAGCATTACACAGGTCAACGATATGAATAATGCTCCTGTTCAAAGTCTTCATGATACACATCTAGACAGGGCCACAGATTTTCAGCAGAACCATTTCTTCTGTTCATCTTCAACTTTCGAAAATTGCCTTTGGGAAGCGTCTAGACCACTGGGATATGGAAACCAGCGCACGCCAGTTCCGCTCCCAAGTGCTCCAGAGATACATAGAGATTGGCTTATTGTTTACCTAGGTTACTGGAATTTGAAGGGGCATAATCCATCTAGATGCTGTATTATTCTCTTTTATTAATTATAATAAATAGAGCCGAGACCATTTATTTATGCGGACGCGGAAGACCCTTAATATCCAAATTTTATTCTCTCCAAAAATATTCTAGCTCATTGCGAGACGAACTGCTCCGTGTGTGACTTATACAACACAGATGTATCCAACGTCTCGCCCGTAGCCGATCTAATGAAATCAACCTGGAGATTATTCGCATCCAAGAAGCTAATCTTGGCGTAACTAAAGTCATCCGCGTACGCGAACGAATTATACGACACATTAGTTCCAACATCACTAAGACCCTCGATATTCCCAGCGCCTCCAGCCACGATGTACATCGGTGCCGTGGGATCATTCATCCCCTTTGGATCCGCCGTGTTGTTGTACACAGGCTGGAACCGCTGGGAATTGTGGACATGACCCAGGATAGCCAGATCGACGCCGTACTTGTACAACAGCGGCTCGAACGCCTCCTGACACGCCGTGCACCCGCCTCCGCCGGTCGTGTACCACGGCCGATGACCCCCGACAAGAAGCCACGGCGTCACAGACCGGTCCACAGACGCCAGATCGGCTTCCAAAAACTCGAGCTGTTGGTTCGGCGCACCGAACGGACCACCGTTTAAGCCCGCCGATCCACCGACTCCATCCGGCGCGTCGTCGAAGTCGGTCTCCGTGTCGATCATGACGAAGTGCAAAAGGCCGTACTCAAAGGAATACCAAAATGGCGGATTAGCAAGGACCTGCGCCTTATTAGCGTTGACCTTCGCAACCTCGATCGCGGACGTCGACGGGAACGCCGTCGCCATGGTGTCCCCGAAGCGCGTCATGAAGTCGGTGAAGTTCTTCTGGCCCTCGGGGCACAGCCCGGTGACGTACGGGATCTCCCCACACGCCGCCTCGTGGTTCCCGGGGCTGGCCATGTACGCCTTGCGACCGGCGATGGGGGACAGCTGGTGGTAGAACTGCTCGAGGATGGCCTGGAAGGCGGCCTCGCCGTCGAGCAGGTTCTTGGCTTTTAGGTACCAGTCGTCCGCGTACGCGAAGTCGCCCGGGTGCACGACGAACTCGTAGTCGTCCACGGTGTCGGCCAGCCGGCTGATGGTCGTGTGGTTCAGCGACGGGTCGATGCTCGGGATCGTGTCCCGCTTGCTCGCGTCCATCTGAATCGTGTACCCGTCCGCGCCGTAGACCCCCAGGTCGATCACGGCGTTCATGGAGAACGGCGTTGCGTCGCCGGCTACACGTGGGCTGAAGAAGTGCTCCACGCTGGAGTTCGTGGATCCTATCTTGTAGTAGTACGTTGTGGCTGGTGCTAGACCCGTGAGAGTCACGGCGTTGGAATATGTTCGTGAGGTTGCATACGTAACCGAGGCGGCTGAGCAGGCCTCTGATGTGAGCGCGTCGCTAGATGTGCCATACTGGACGCATGGTTGGTCTAGCTTTTGGTACGTGTTCCAGCCGACGGAAACAGCTGGGGTTGGCGATCTTGGGTCAGCAGGGTCCTGTAATTTTCATCATAACTATGTCTCACTCATACTGCTAAAAACTCACCATTGGGGCCGCTGATAGCAAGACGCTGCTGAACTGGAGTGGTCAAGTCAGTCGGTATCGCGGGATAGCTCGCCGCAGCAAAAACGGAAGCCGCCAAGACCGGGAGTCTTTTCAAGAGGTGCGCCATCTCGCCGGTTCCTGCAGGGGCGCGCGAAGGCTTAGATACATCCCTACCTACCTAGCAGTTCAACGACATACAGAGATCCAAGGTATTTATAATGTCCCCATTGTGTATGGCTGACGAATACGAACCCACGTGCGAGACCCGATGCAGAGCTTCGCCGGCGGCGGTCTTCCAGCTTTGCAGGTATGCAGCTGGGCAGCCAATGTTGCAAAACCTTGGACTGGGGGTTACATCGGCTTGGTTATTCCCGCAGCTCGTGGCCTAGACGATTGGCCGAGATGGCAGCTGTAAGTTATGGCGCGGTAGCAGTCCGGGAACAGGGCACGACGCATGTCCGGGGCTATCCGGCATTAGT